AAGTTTAAATCGATCCGATGTACGCTCGGGTATTGTGAGCCTTGAGTCCGTATTGAAATGAGAGCGGAATCTCGAACTATAAGTTTTTGGCCCTTAAGCCTTTCGAAGTTAGCCCTTGGGCTCCTATATATCGACCCTTAGGCTCTTTTAGTTGGCCCTTAAACTCTTTGAGTTGGACCTTAGGCTCTTTGAGTTTGCCCTTAGGCTCTTTATATTGGGCCAATTCGGCCTCTAAAATGGCTACATAATTTTTCCCTCATTTCTGCAAGGTGATTTCTCCCTTTGTTATTTCGTTTGCCATGTTGAAACCATTCAGGACCCGGGACACAGGTACGATCTGACCTTGCAGGCCGAGTTGTTTCATGACCCTCGATCTAATTATGTTTGCTGAGCTACCTGGATCAACTAAAACACGTTTAATTTGAATTTTATTTAAAATGATAGAGATTACCAGGGCGTTGTTGTGAGGCTAAGATATGCCTTTTGCTTCCCCGTCATAAAATAATAAGACGTCCTCGGGTACATAGCTCCAAGTCCATCTTTCTCTTGTAATTGACACCTTGGTGCATTTGAATACAGGTCATTGAGGGACATCGACTCCGCCAATGATCATGTGGATTACGTGTTGTGGTTCTTCTTGCTCATTTTTCTTTGCATCTCTTTCTCGGAGGTGATTCTTAGCCTGATCACTTAGGAATTCTCGAAGGTGGACCCCGTCACTTCTTCCCTCAGTTTTCTGCAATCTTCAGTTTGATGACCATATGTGCCACGATATTTGCACATCAAATTCGGGTTCGTTTGAGAAGGATCGATCTGTATTAGCTTGGGCCACTTGGTGTCTTTGATTCTCCCAATAGCTTAGACAATCCCCGACGCATCTATGCTAAAATTGTATTTTGATAATCGGGGGGACTCTATGGGGTCGGTATGTTTATCGAACCCGTTCTTACTCATGAGTCCCTGAGAACTTTGACCTCGATCATTTCTCCGATCATTCCGAGGAAGGTTACGGCTCGGGCCATTGTTTCTTCGTTCAGCATATGGTTGGTACCATTCTTTGTTGAACCTTGATTCCTAGTCTGTGTCCCTCGGGGGCTTGGCTGTGAATCTGTTAGGATGAACTGAACCCGAGGGGTCTCCCAACTGGTCGTCCTTGACCCTGATCTTTGACTGGTAACGATTGTGTACATCTGACCATGTCATAGCTAGATATTCGATCAAGTTCTGCTTCAACTATCGAGACATGATCGAGCTCCTTTTATTCAGACCATGCATAAAGGCATGTACTTCCTAGTCATCGGAGACCGGAGGTAGCTCCATTCTTTCCATCTGAACCTGGGATACGAACTCCCATAGCATCTCGTCGTTCCTTTGCTTTATCTTGAAGACGTTCGATTTTCTCGTGGCCACCTTTATGGCCCCAGCGTGTGCTTTCACAAAGGCATGTGCTAGCATAGCAAACGAATCAATGGAGTTAGGATCCAAGTTGTGATACCAAATCATGGCTCCCTTTGATAGTGTTTCCCCAAAATATTTCAACAAAACTGACTCGATTTCATCGTCATTTAAGTCATTTCCTTTAATCCCGCAAGTGTACGGAGTTATATGCTCGTCGATTGTCCCGTTATATTTGGGTATATCGGGCATGTGAAACTTCTTGGGAATGGGCATCGGAGCCGTGCTCGGGGAGAATGGTTTCTGTACAAACTTTTTGGCATCTAGACCTTTAAAAACTGGTGGTGCCCTCGGTATCTGATCTACCCTGAGTTATAAGTTTTCACCTTCTTATCATTTTGTTCAATTTTCTTTTCTCTAGACTCCCCTTTCTTCCATTCCCTGTGTTCTTTGGCCAATGGGTCGGGCTTCCCTGCGTATATCTGCTTCGGGGTCCGCGCCTAGATTTGCATTCAAAGCAATTTGCATACTAACATCAACAGGTTCCACATTTGTCACTTCCCCTGGGTTTATTGGTGGTACACCGACTCCTGCATTGTTGTTTCCTCCAAGACCTTCGTTGTCGTGAATGGGTGTGTTTTGTGAGCTAGACATGTTTCAGCCTGAAAATCAACAAATCTTGACAAGAAAAAGTGTAAAAACAATGTGTGTAACGAGAATCAGTAAAGAAATAATCACTATTATTTTTAGTCTCACGGTGGCGCCAAACTGATTACCTTGAAAATACGAGTAATAATTAAATTTGATTAGTGGTTTTAAAGATATGTGATTTAGTTCAATACCAATTAATAATCAAATAATATGAAGTAGAAATGAAAGATAGAAGTGAATCAAACCAATGTTACTTAGCAGCAGTGACCTCGAGCTTAGTAACCTCGAGGTAGCTTAGGGCAGTAAGAACAATTAAGTAATAAAAATAAAGCAAGAACAATGGAGCTAAAGGACAATGATGATGACAGTAGGCAAAAAGGCAAAGCGTATATTCTTTTCTCAGTGATGATAAGATGTCTTACAAATGATTGAGGTCTCCTTTATATAATAGGGGAGCCCTAAATAAGGAATATTTCCATTTACAGTAAGAAATATTCTTGGTACAGCTGTCTAATCGCCTAGTACGGAATAGTACAATCATATTCCGTAATTTGCGCCATGGCTTTGGGGACGTGGCAGGAATCTAACTCGTTCTAGTACAAATCCACAACGGTACTATTTTGGAGTCGAACATACTCGACCTCGATATGCATCGCGCTTCGCCTTTGAACTCGGGCCTGGTCCTTCGAGCTCGAACTTGATCTTACCCGGACTCGGGCTCAGGACGGGCCCTCGAGCCTTTAAGTCGGGTATACGATTTTGACCGTATACAATATCTTAGCACACACATTAGAAGACTTAAGTATTAGGGCTATGATAATAAATCATCCAAAATTATCTTTGCCTCTCATATCCTATCAAACTAGAAAATCAAACCACAATTTTTATGAATCTTTTTTTTCTCTTCAATTTCTCCTCCTTTCTTGTACTTCATTAGAAATATTTTGTTCACGCTTCTTCTTACCATTGCATAAACTAGATTGAAGAATCAACAAATCACTTTTTCTCAAGTACTTCATAATGTTGTCAAACGTCTTTTAAACCAATTGAATACATTATGACCTCTTAGCATATACTATTTCCATTTCAATTTTTGTGAACTTTTTTCGGAGTATAAAAGTCAAATCAACTAATTTTCAATATAAATTTGGATATAGATTTTTTAATTTCTTGAAATAAAATTGCATATTTAAAACTACATAAAAAGCATTACTATAAGTCACAATAGTTAAAACTTCAAAATATTTGAAATATGCCAAAATAACAGTCTGTGCCCTGTTGGGACATTAGAGAAACCAAATCAACATCGTATTGGTTTTCTATGTCAGTCTTTTAAGACATAGAATTGCAAGGACAGCTCGTGGAGAACCAACACTTTGCACTATGATTGTGTTTAAGATTTTTCAGGGTTGGATCCCAGTAATGCGTTATCTGGTTGGCTCATTAATATGCAGTATTAACATTAAGAAGTAGGCAACTCTTTATTCAGTGTTTGTTTCTTATTTTTTTCTTAACCTTTTGTCCAGTACACTGTACCTAGTACTCTAGGCAGCATACGTTCCCGCAGGGGCGGATTTAGGGGCGGAAGGGTGTTCACCTGAACTCCGTTCGTCGAAAAATTACATTGTATATATAAGGTAAAATTTATTTCTTACCTCTATATTTATGTTTTGAATCTCCTTGACGCAACCCAAAAGCATAGCTTAGTGGTCAAGAGGGTTCAAAACCTTTGCAAGATCATTGTTTTTTTTCCTACTAGCTACAATCTTTTTAACTTTTTCCTTTTTTCAACCCCTTAGCAGGTAATCCTACCTCCGCCATTGTGTTCCCCCCCACCCCCCACCCTCCCTTCTTCCGAAGTCTTAGTCCTTATAGTTCTAGAAATATTTCGTAACAAGTTCACCTATGTTATCTTTTAGAAGTGGATTCATGATTTAAATTTGTAAAAGTACGTATACGCAATATTCTTTTGTAACGAGAGCGTAAACTTAGTTTAATTTTTCTGTAAAAAAATCAACAATATATATAGGTTCAGTCAAAAGTAAGTATGCACCCCCATTATTGTATGCATATATTCATGTATGGTTTGTGCTCGTGTTTACTACAATTAGTTACCTCAATTATTAAGTGGTACAAATTACTTGTCCTATCACAATGAAGATTTTAAGTTATCTTTGCGCTTACAGTATTGACCTCAACAACATATAATTAAAGCATTGACAACATAATCAACGACATAAAATTACAGTACTGACCTCAAGTCATCTAATTAAAGCAAACATATAATTGTTTCTACAACTAAACGACAACACCATAGTCTGTTGATAAGAATGTCCCCCGCAATAAACCCTAGCCATAAACTAGGGTTCCTTTTAATCTTTGCTACTGATTCCTTTTGTTTTGTTCAGAGATTAATTTGTCTCATATTAGCCGACAAAGTAGCTTGCTGCTGCACCACTTGACCTTTCTTCACAGGCAATTCATTCTTAAAATAGTGCATTGCTTAGTATACTTTCGTAAAGGTCTTAAATGGAAAGACAAAGGACTAACCGTTGTTAATACTTTAGAATTTATGATTTTAAACGTGTCATGTCATTTCAATGGCAATAGAACATATTATTAAAGGAAAAATAAAAAGTTTAGAGTCAAAGAATTTTTCAATATAGTAAGCTGCCATTCTATTTGAAATAGACCAAAATAAAGGCTCTCTTACCATTTTACCATGTTTGTAAAGGCCTCAAATGGAAAGATGGGGACCATGTTCACAGCTAATGCATGTCGACACAAATTCAACTAATAAGCAATTTTTTAGTTTCAACACTCCTATCCAAGTACAAGTACGTACTATACTATGTATTCATTAATTCAGCTTCAACACTTAAAAAATATTTTTAAAAAGCTATTTAAATTCAGGTAAGCCAAAGGGACTCAAAATGTTACGGTTTGTTCCAAAGTCGCGTGCATGTGTTTTATCATGGACACAACACATTCTTTGACAAAGTTTGATTACAATAATAACCTTTTACATATGGCAGCAAGATAATTGCTTCCCTTTCTGCACCTTCTCTGTCCTTCGTTTCACACATGCAGAATTTGAACATAGAATTTAGTCTAATATTGTCTAATTTATATCTGGACATAAGTTAGAAATTAGAATACTTCGGCTAATTCCAACCAAAGGAATTATAGCCAACGTATAATAATCTAGTAGTTCGAAGAAAACAGTTGCAACCCAAGATTAAGAACCAATGTCACCATTGCTGTATGGCTTATATAGCTTGCCTGACACTAATGGAACTCGAGAACGAATTACACCATCTGTAGCTTCATTGAGTAGGTTCGGCGGTATATACATTTCTAGCTTGCAAGCATTTCTGATCCGCCCCAAAATTCACATGAAAGGCGCGAACAGCTTCCTGGGTTTTCCCCAGTCTAAATACTTCTATGTTGATCAGAGAAGCTTCCAAGAATTTTCCACAAGCTTCAATTGACATACATGAAAGCACCAGAACAAGGTCTGAAATGTTGGTCTACCTGGGTGGCTGTTCTAGTGCTATCCAACCAAATTTCCCTTTCCGGAAATCTTGCAAGATACGAAATGCTGCTTGGTTATTGTCCGAGTTAAATAACTGAGCAGCGAGCTTCTGAACAAATCTGCAACCAAAACAAACAAAGATCAAGTTGGAAATATAGACCAAATTCCTGCTAGGGTACACATAATTCTAGATGAACCATTTGGGTATAATTTGCCATACATACGTTCTACCACAGCGCCCATCTGTCTCAATCTTGTAGCGGTCACGAAGAGCTTTATTACCTGGTCAGAGTGAGCCATGTTAAAAAAATAGAAGGCGACATGTATACAAGCAGCTTAAAATGAACATCTCGGGGCAGACTCTCCAATCCCTAATGGAATTGCTTGTTACATTCGAGAGGCTCAAAGTGCATGCCGAGGTGCAATAATAGATCTATTAGGATGAGTAACCAATATTGTCTAAATAAGGTCCGGTAATAATTTCTGACGCACAGTATCTTCATTGACGTTTTACCAACAAGAACCTACCTACACGAGTGAATTGTATGTGCCAAAATTATTGAAGTCTCGAAATATTTTCAAGCGGGAGAGCAGTATATCTAAATGACAGGAAACATACCAACAGTTGGAAGCTTCGAAAGCATCTGTACAAGAATGGCTGCAACATCTGTAGCATTATAAGATCTCTCTCCAATATCATCACATATGGCAAGCTTTATTGCTGCTGCCTGATCACTGATCCTCATTGGAATTATGCCAGGTGAATCCAGTAGCTCTAGATCTTTCCCAAAACGGACCCACCTAATCAAAAGGAGCAGGTAGAAAATTAAAAGGAAGAAGAGTCTGTAATATCTAATCTAGTATTTTTTAAGTTAAATTAATGAATACCTTCCTTTCAGCATAACAATTACACAGACCTAAATTATCCTGTGGTGAAATCTTCACTCAGTTCCACTTAGCAGATCAATATTTTGAAATAGATTGCTATATATGTAAAATTGCATCAATTTCTACATAATGCTTAATTTCAAAATGAATAGAAAGTTGAAGTGATTCACAAGGTGTCGGAATGAGAAGAAAGTACAACCCTATCACCCCACCCACCNTAGCTAATGAACTTGCGGCAAAAGGAAAGAGTAAGGAGCCAAGGACATACTTCAGCTCTCTGGTAACACCTGGTCTTGGGGCTGCAGGACACATCCGGCGCTTCAGCAAACGATTTACCAGAGATGACTTACCAACATTTGGATACCCAACTACACCAGCTCGAACCTGTCAAAACATATAAAATTTCTCACTTTAGAAAAAAAAATAACACTGATGCTAAGTCTGCTACGCTAACTCAGGAAGTAGTTCCTTAATTTTTTCATTTCATCAACTAGTGAACCAAATAAGAATCTTCTATTCTGTTACATAATTTCCAAATGTTGTTCATCAGTACATTGGTACAAGAGTATGGCAACACAAATGATGTTTTTCCTCTGGTGTACACTCAAACCAAATTATCAAATGGTAAAACTTTGAAGTTTGGCAGTGAACTCCTTGCATTTCTTTTATATCACCATAGATGCTTCCAACAGTCTATATGTAAATGATGAATATGCCATATTGAATACAATACAATACAAAATCAGAATTAGAGTGCTACATAGTCATGAACCAACTGTTGAATGAAAGAAAGCATTGGTACTTGACAACTGAAATGGGCTCACACAGATCTACCAGTTCAAATACTTGTGACGGTCTATATGTAAATGATGAAGATGACATATAAGTACAAAATGCGAACGAGATTGCTAACATTAGTCACGAACCAACTGAACTTGGTGGATTGAAAGCAAGAGATTTTTAAGTCTCATTTGTCTTGACAACCGAAATGAGCTTACAACAGATCTACAGTCTAAAGGCATGGATAATATGAGCAATTATCAGCCTTAGTAAACTCACTGGACGAGGAAGTAGTCCTTTTTCTCTACGTTTTATGTTCACAGTACCCGCTAATGCTTTCGCCAACCTGCCAAGTTTTAGTGTTCCCTGAAATTTGCCCAATACGTGAATCAACAGAAGTATAACAACACTCTTTATTCTAGCAGAAACAAGTACACGCTATTCCAATTACCATTCCAAGCTGGCCATTGGAGAAAACAACTCTAATCCCTTGCTTTGCATAATAAGTTGCCCAAGCATTCCGATCAGCAGTTGATATCATATCCTCTCGATTCAAAACCAAAATTCTCTTTCTGTTGCCAAGCCATGAGTCCATCTGCTCATCGAAATTGAATTACTAACAGATCAAGTAGATGACAGTTGAAAGGAGACAAGACTAGAATCCCACATGCAAGAGGAGTCTTTTGCTGTTATATAAATGCCCGTGATCATGAATTTACATAATCTACAATGCATAAAACAATATCTATGCCACAAGTTTTTTAGTGGCTTGATATCCTAAATGGGAGTCAAGAAAAGTAATTATGAACTGCAGTTTGCATATATACTCTATCCTGGTTCAAAAGAGGTTCTTGTGCATTTACTTCGCAGCACACTCTTTGCATCATTGGAAACAATTTCCTACATCTCATTTTGCTCTTGTTTGACTTTGCTGAAAGGGAATAGGGTCAAAGTGACACCTACCAAATTTTTAGTCTTTGAAACTGCAAACCATCAAAGTGATACAAAGATTTGTTAAGTATATTATTAATTTTCTTAAGTTCAAAACACTAATACTGAAATGAATTAAACTGCAATTCAATATGGCATTTCTAAGCCAGACTAAGAAAACTTTGAGATGGAGTATCAGTTAAAACTAAGCACAACAGCTATGTAGAAAGAATGGGCCAGGGCTATGAAATTAGTTGGCCATTGCTACGTAGGCAATCAATATGCAGAACACCTAGCGGTCACAATTCTAATAAAAAATTGTCAAAGCATAATACATATCAGATAATAAATGTAAAATTGCACTTCAAAGCACTTTCTCCAATTTTATATAACATCAAGTCTTCAGTGGTAAAGGTTGTTTAGGATGACACAATCAGCATTCGTCCACATTTACCTAGCTGTTGGGAAGGCAGGCTAGGTTACTAGCTCATTACTCAACCATAGACAATATTCAAACATAGCACATAACGTTCAATAACCTAGCCATAATGCACATAGCCCAAAAAACCATTAGATAAATTTCTAACCTGTGGATGACTTGTGGACATTGGAATTCTTGCATCTCGAACCTCTATGACAACATCCATCAATTTCAACTGTTCCTTCAGCTCTTTCTCGGTTTTTGCAATATGACCAGGATACCACTATTTAAATTATAGTAGCATTAGTATAAGAAGGTAAAACATTTGGAACCAAATGAAAAAGTTGAAACGATTCAGAAGTGCAATGTCAAGTTCACACCTTGTGCATACCTGAACTGGTCGTAAAGTCTTTGTCCAATGATAAAGATCAGCTTCGACATCATTCCAGTCATATTCTTCTTGGAAGCCTTCAAAATCATTACCAAGTTTTAAACTCCCATTGCCAGACTCTCCAGCACCTTTCCAACCAACAACCTGAATTGATTCAGAATACGTTATTTCTTGAAGCAGAGAGTAAAGAAAGTGATAGTAGAAAAGTTGATTCACGATAACGTTATGAGAGTCTCCAGACATTTTGTAATATGATTAGCAAAAGTTGTACCAAAAAATCAACAAGAGCAAGAAAGAATTCAGATGATAAATATTCCCCACATAAGAGAGAATTTTCTGCATCTAACTGTTGCACGTGATAATGAATAACGAATATATAACTATGCTAGCCTAATAGAAAAACAAAAGCATAATATAAACCACAACCCATGAATGTCAGTTTTAGCCATAGCTTCAGCTTACTGAAAAGGGGGGGAAACAGATGAACGTATATATGCCAACATGCAACATGGAAATAAAGCATGAAATATAGGCATTCTGCAGCTTCAAAGTCACCATGCTTTTCACGTTAGGTCAAGTGAGAAATGATAAAATTCAAATAACTTGTATTACATGGAAGTGTTAAAGGCTAGCAAAGCAAGCTCAAAGACTCACAAAAGGCTGCTATTAATTTGTGAACTTCTTGGTATGTCTAGTCAAAATGAAAACCAAGCTGAACAGGTGCTATGGACCGACTGCTACATGAGACCGCATTAATTTTTGAAAGAGATCTGAGACTGTCATATGCTCAATGATGGATTTGGTTTTACGTTTATATATATAAATAGAATAGTAAATATAAGTTGATAGCAATTGATGAAACCCCAGATCAATGCAGTCAGAAAGTTACTCAGTTAAGCTAGAAAAAGGTAGTCTTTTGCGAAGCTGAAACTGCACGTTCGTATTCATTGTCACAATCAATCCAGTGGTCTGAACGTATACCCTCAATATTCCCTATGCTCATTTCTGGTTATACCTCAGCCCATAACATCAAAACAAGGCACCTTTCGAAAACAAGAATTCTAGCTTGACATAATTGCCACATACCATTCTAAGGGAAATTACTATAATTCCAAAGTCTAAGCTCAGCTTCAAAACAACCACATAGGAAATCGCCTTGCGCCCATGAGTTAGAAAAGAACATAACGCTGACTGATCCTTGAGCAAATAAAAGGAGCCAAGACATTTGGTTCATTAAAGCTGGCACATAGAATGGACAAGGCGTCCCAAATACTGATGTCTTTCCTTCTTTCACCGGTATATTTCTTTGCCGTCATTAGCTAACTCTACCTTTGGGCTCGAGTTATCTCATGCTTGTTCACCTTTAAGTCACACTGTATTCAGCAGCTCACTATCTTTATCATACCTTCACTCTTAGGCCCAAAAGAAGTGGCCTACGGAACCTACCTTACTGGACCTCGGTGGATACACAGATTCAGCCTTACAGCAAAGGTATGTTATTATAGGCTTGCCTCAGCTTCAATTGATTGAAATCCAATAACATTCCCCTACAACATATCTGCGCATTTACCATGTAACATATGGGTTCACGCAAACCCAGTCGCTATATGTGTATTAAGAAATCCACCAAACATTTGATTGTGAACCCAATTATTATTGCATATTAACTTGAGGTCGCTGGATCTGCCTCTGCCTGATTCAATTAGCTTCAGCAATTACTTGCACATTCCATCTCAAAAAACAACTATTTTCACACTCACCCTATCCAGTTCTCACTAGTGCTTCCTCGAACTGAATTTGATTGTCACTAATACTATTCGAGGATTTAAGCAGCTTTTACTTTTAACTAGATTATTCCACAACTTAAACTTAGAGGTAATAAGTGAAACGATTTTTTTATAAAATGCATCATTTTTTAAGTAACTGTAAGCTGCCATTGCAGCACTACAAAGACATGTAAAACAAGAAGTAATTACGACGCTTCAAAGTAAATTTATTTTGAGGATTTTAAGCCATTGTGCCTGCGTAAATGTAACACAGTTAAAAAAAATTAATGTTACCTGAATTGTGGATGAAGAGAGAGGAGGAGGAAGCGCAGAGGAGATAGCTGCCGGCGGTTGACTCTTCCGACAATTAAGTGACCGGCCACCGGCGAGTGTTAGGCCGGAGCTGTTTAGCAACATCCCAGGGAGCTGCGTAGCCATCGGTTGGAAATTATCGGTACAACTAACGAATGCCTTTCTCGTTTGCAAAGGATATTTTTTTGGCAAAAATTAAAAAATAGCCAAATTTACAAGCGTTCATTTAAAAATAGCCGCATTTTTAAAAGTAATCGAAATTTAGTCACTTTTCAAATAAAGATAAATCTGAACGAAAACACTATTCAAAATTCGAAAAATACTCCAGCATAATATATTGGAATTCCAGTATAATATACTGGAACTTCAGCATTAGTATACTTGACTTCCACCATAAGTATAATGGAACTCCAGTAAAGTATACTGGAATTAACTGGAGTTCCAGTAAAGTATACTGGACTTCCAGCATATCGGCCCAACATAATATGCTGGAAGTTCATACACAGGTGCACCGATCTCCAGTATATTTTGCTGGAACTTTCCTTGTTGCAGCAAAATAGTGGCTATTTTTCAATGACTTTGCAAATGCTGGCTATTTTTGAATGATCAGTCCGAAAACTGGCTAGTCCGTGCTATTATTACATATTTTTATCTACTTCTTAAATAGCGTAATTGGTTTTTAAATAAATAATTGTTATGAAATATTATATTATATTATATAGTGGATGACTATAACTCTTAAAGAAGTTACTCCCACTACTCTTCTCTATTAACCTCCCACTACTTCTTACAATTATTGTTGTAACTCCCACACCTCCATAACCCCCTCCATGATCTTCCCTCATGATCTCAATTGTTAAACCATGTTCATGACATTCATTTGTATTACCTAAATATCATCCTATAAATAGAGGGTTTGGGCATCACATTGTATACACTTGGAAAATATATGGAAGAAATAAGAATCTCTCCTCTCTTTCTCTCTATATTCTTGTTTATTTGCTTGATTCATATTATTACTTTGAGCTAAGTTTACTAACACGTTATCAGCACGAATTGCTCATTTCATGATCTTCTACGTCAAGATATTGTGGTCGGTGCCCTTTAACTTCGACTCTGGTCATACCATTTTTGCGTGCAGGTAACTTTATTCATGATCTTAATGGTAAGAGTTTATACATTAATACTAGTGCAAAAAAATCTAGTTTTTGTTGTTTAATCCTATGAAGTTAGACCTCATATGAAGTTTTTATGGGTAAAGTTTTACTCCTAACTATTAGTAACGAACACAATTGTTTCCTAAACCAAAACCAAAGTTTTAGTGAAAATCTTAGAAGCTATAAGTTTGTGTTTAGTAATTTTGGTGCTACTACTTATAGTTTTTCTTTTCCTTCATACTTGTGTAGTATACATAGGTTTTCCTTCATACTATCAGTATATGGTTTTTAAATTATTCTTGTGTTTTCAACTAATATATTAAGTGCAGATATAGGAGGCTGCATCGTTATAGTAATTGTCATCATTATGGTAACTATAAAAGGAGAACAATAAGGGTTTTCGAAGTAATCCTTCAAAAGGTGAAGGAAATATTTACCATCAAATTGGTATGGAAAATTTATAAAGCACGTCACGATAATTATACTCCATTCTTTGAAGAGAATGTGACTTGTGATAAGCATTGAGAATGCATATTCATTCTTCAAGGTGAATGTAATAATATGTGATAAAAGTAATAAATAAAGACGTGCAATGCATGATTGGGATACACACCACAACTCACCTCTAAGGGAGGTTTGAGAGAAAGAAAGATAATGAATATTACTATGTGGTTACATGAATATGTCATTGGTCGCGTACATATGGTACGCCAAAAATATTTTGACATGCCTTATAAAAAGTTATTAAAGACAAAAGTAAAGCAAGAATTGATTTTGCTTATGATGATTGACCATAACTATAATAATTTAATTTTTCTCCGTGAACGAGACATTTACCATATGGATGGTGAGAAAAAAGTATTGTAGTACAAAATCAATTAAGAGCTCCCGAAAAGTCAATTTTTTACTATCTAGATGAATAAAATTGTTCAAGATATTAATATTGTAGTAAGTCTCAAAAAAAACTTTTTGAGTTTCAAATGTATAAGCCAAAGTGGTTGGCATGTTGAGACTATAAATGAAAGGAAGATTGAATATATTCATATTACTATAATCATATAGGATAAATATAAAAGGTTACCCGACTTTCCTTCTATTTGTATTGCACAAGTATAAGCACGATAATGCAATCCTATGCCACAAGTAAACTAGAGATTTACTGAAACAAATATTAGTTGGCATGAACGGTTGGCCATTTTGGTTCAATTATGATGCGAAAATTAATTGAGAATTCACATTGGCATATATTGAAGAAATAAGAGATTCTTCAAGAATTCTCTTGTGCTGTTTATTCTCATGATATACCAGCTAAGGTTGAGATTGAATTCCTTGATTTCTGGAACGAATAAAAGGTGATATATTTATGGGCTCAGTCACCTGCCATGTGGACTATTTTCCATTATATGAGATTTTAATAGATGAATCTATTATATGGTCACATGTGCGTTTGTTATCAACTTGCAGTTTGGATTTTGCAAGGTTGATTGCTTAAATTATTACAGCACGGTTTCAGAATATAAATTATGATGATTTATATTGATAATGTTGGTTTAAATCCAAGTTGGTTTAGCAGAAATTGTATGCCTCCAATTATAGCTAAACTATTGGCTATGAGAACAGAAATCCCAAATAGAAATTTAGTATGAGGTGTATTATTTAATATACAACAGCACTTGTACGCATCTAGCCAACAAGTTATGATAAATTCTCCCTATCAAAATTGGTTCAGGGTCAGGAACAGAATAATTCGCATCTAGAAATATGGATGTGCTATATAATTTACCTATTCCACCATAATGCACAAAGATGGGTTTCCAAAGAAGGTTGGGATATGTTTGGTGATCCCAACATTAGGGGAGAAAATGGGCAGCTGAAAAAGATACGTGGAATGAATTATTATGAGTACATCTAGATCCCCGTACTAGAAAATGTGAACTTAAAGTCCAAGTGATAATTCATTTGCAAAATATTGACAGGGGCATTTGCTGACCCAAAGATAAATGTTATATTTCAGCTACTAATGCTCCAAATAGAATAAAGTCCATGATGGACATCGTCTATGGAACGCATGAAGCATAATAGACTAATCGGTTCCAAAGATAAAACTCCTTGAAGAAGGAGTGGAGAAAATGATCAAGATGGTCATAATAAGGAGGCAAGTGCTCTAGAATAGCACCACGACATAACACTTCATAAGACCTCATAGGAGAGGCTCAAGTACCTGAAAATAATGAGATAAAGAGATCTCAATAAGTTATATCTTTATTGGGTAATGATAGAACTGATATAAAGTGATCGTCGACGATATTGTTGATATAATGTAGCGCTCAATATTATTAATATTGACGAGGATCTTGAGCTCAAATCTGTCATGAAATTTGGACAGATAAATGATTGGCCAAATGAAAAATACGTAATGAAAATTTATTTTACCTGAAAAATATGAAATTTGACGGATAGTCCCAACACCTGAAAGTATAAAATCAGTGAAGGTATATATGTGTTCTTGTGCGAAAATTGAAATGTAAAATTAAGTCGGTAGACATAAAGATGACTTGTGGCACAAGAAGATTTGCAAATATCATGGCATTGATTATATGAAGACATGTTCTTCTGTGGTGGATGTAGTCATTTCAGGTTTTGATCTGACAATACATTTGATATGCGTATAATGAAAATCCTTGAAGGGTTTAAATTGTTCTTATTAAATCTCCATGAACTGGTGAATTGAGCTGTTCGTGAGTGCAATCGAGTGAAGAGGATGAAAAGATTAAGAAGAAGCAAAAGCAGAGGAGAGCAGAATTTTCAGTTCTTCATTCTTCACATGCTATACTTACAAGAGTCGTATATATACATCTCTAATCCTAATGAATGACAGCTGTAAAACCAACTAACTAATACACCCCACTAACACATAAGTTAGGTAACACTATTAAGCAAACAACTAACTAACTAATTGACCATGGTCAACTAACTAGAGTCACGTAATAGCTGTACTGTTTAATTCTTCTATAGTTCTGAAGCATATTAAGGTTCCCAAGAAATTTATTAAATAAAGTTTCGGCAAATCCTTATGTGGAATAGAGAAATTATGGCGTACATGATTTGTTTTTGTGTCTAGTGCAATTGGTGCACTAATATATCTTGTTAGAACCATGAGTATAACAGTATGCTTGCAAGATATAGTTTTACTCCTATGTGGAGATATTGAAGTACGATCAGTGTTATATTGCAAAAAGAATCTAACTTATGTGTTATATGGCTGATTTACTGTCATAATATAGAGAGATAGGAAACTGAATACTCATATGCAATTCCTTAAACAATCCAAGCAACCACACAAGCTCAGCAACTGTCGAGGCAAGACTTCTATACTTTGCCTCAGCAGAACTTCTAGAGATAGTTGTTTGTTTCTTGGATTTCCAAGAAATAAGGGAATCGCCAAATTTAATAAAGTAGCCTGTAACAGACCTGCGAGTATTTGGACATGAAGCTCAATCAGCATCACAATAAGCAACCAAACAAGAAAAAGAAGCAGAAGATAGGAGGATCCCAGTGCCAGGAGATTGTTTGATATAACGAACCAATCGTACAACAGCTTCCATATGAGAAACCTTAGGTGAGTGCATGAACTGGCTTAAGCACTGAACTGCAAAACTAATGTTTGGACGTGTGTTAGTCAAATATAACAGCCTGCCTAAAAGTCTCTGATATATACTAGGATCATCAAGAAGAGCATCATCAGTCACCCCAATATGTGCATCAAACTCTGAGGATGTCAGCCTCAAATTAAACTCCAAAGGAGCACCCACTAACTTAGCTCCAACTAAGCCCATATCTGATATCAGTTCAAGGGCATACTTTCGTTGATGCATAACAATACCATCCTTGCTTCTAGCAAATTCAATCCCAAGGAAATACCTCAGCTCACCAAGGTCTTTGATCTTGAAACTAGACTGCAAGCATGCCTTAGTGTCAAGGATCATGGTGGAGTCATCACCTGTGAT